TGAGGAATCATAGTGAGGAATCATAGTGAGGAATCCTGGTGAGGAATCATAGTGAGGAATCCTGGTGAGGAATCATAGTGATGAATCATAGTGAGGAATCATAGTGAGGAATCCTGGTGAGGAATCATAGTGAGGAATCATAGTGGGGAATAATCATAGTGAGGAATCCTAGTGACATGACAGGGACTTGAAATAACTCTTTGCATGAAAAAAATTGTAGTAAGGTTTTACGGCGCTCACAACTACAAAAAGTCATATGAGCGCCTATTGGGTGGATGTCAACAGAGAGGTCCAAACGGGGAATCAGGCTTACTCTACTCACCTCTCTAGCCTCAACAGCACAAAGTCTGCTTCGACCATCAAGGCACCCCGGAAATAGCGGGTCACAAGAGGGTGACAAACATACAAAAGAAGAAGAGGAAAAAAAGATGATGATAAGGATGAGGGGGAAAAAAGCAGCAAAACACATCTGATGTGTTGGACCAAATCTCCTTAAAACAGTCCGTCCACCTTTGGTTGAGTAACGAATCAACCCACTACTCACCAACCGGAGGTGCTGCCAGTCTGATGGATGATATGATGTATGTGTGGGTGTTTTACGCCCCTCTTGACTCTATTTAAGTCACACAGGAGGCCGCTGTGGTCCTGCCTGTTGTTAGGGCTGACATCCCAGCTCAAGGTTGTTGGTTTTTTTAAAGCAAAAAAACAAAACAACCCAACCCCCCCAAAAAACAAAAACAAACAAACAAAAAATCCCATTAAAAACAATTCAACAACAACAACAAAAATACGGTACCCCCCCCCCAAACAAAAAACAACAACAACAACAAACAAACTTAACAAACAAACAAATAAAAACCTCCCCTCCCGAGAATGGACTTCCCACCTTCAGCGTGTGATGGCATTAATGTATCTGCCTGCTACACCACAGAAGTCAAAACCCCTAGAATTTTCCACAGCAACTAACCTGATGTCCCCGTCGTTTTATGCAAGAAAAATTCTGAAATTATGCAAAATGAATCCAAAAGTGTGAAATTATGCGATTCTGTTAATTTTAACCAAGAATGATAAAGGAAAATAATCAGAAATTATTCAAAAAATGATCACGTTTTGCTAAATTATGCGGGGTGCATAAAACCACGGGGGACAGACTAATTGTCCATCTTTGGTTGGCTACCGCTGACCGCTTATGACGTCACAGAGTTAGAAGAGAAAGAGAGAGAGAGAGAGAGAGAGAGAGAGAGAGAGAGGGGGGGGGAAGAGAGAGAAAGAGAGAGAAATAGAGAGAGAGAGAGAGAGGAGAAAGAGAGAGGGGTGGGGGAAGAGAGGGGTGGGGGAAGAGAGAGAGAGGGAGAGAGAGAGAGAGAGAGAGAGAGAGAGAGAGAGAGAGAGAGAGAGAGAGAAAGGAGAGATCATTAGCCTTATTCCACGTTCATCCAAACCAGTGTGACAATAACAATAACATGACAATGACAATCTTTATTCATCTGACAGGGAGAAATTTTATTTGTATTGGTCGTTTACAATCACAGTCTATTTCCAGACAAAGCTGGTATCCCAATAAAAACATAGACTTACAAAACGTGCATCTTACATTCTTACAACAAAATAAATTTAAAGTTTCATTTCGTTTGTTTTGTTTTGTTAGTTTTTTTTCCTTCCCCTTTCTTACTTGGAAAATCACTTCGTAGTGCCTAAGTCCTGAGTGAGATACAGGCGATAGTTGAGAAGTGTTCTGACAAGATGAGTTACTTCTCGGATTCAAGCCCTATGAAAATAAATTAATGCATCACGCTTTTAGGTGAAGTTTTTACAATTTATAGGTATGAAATAATAAAAGACATGTTATACTTAAACTTAAAGAATTATGTCATCAACAGAAAATCTAACAATTTGACACTAGTGAAGTCTGGTGTCGATTTTTGGCCAATATCTCCATTTGTGGATTTCGAGAAGTAACTCATTTTGTCAGCCCGTCTCACATATATATATATTGTTGCTGATTGTCTCAAACTTCCAAATGTGTGGTTTTTGTGCTTTTGGTTTGAGTTCTTTTTATTTTGGTAAGTGTTTTACGGCGCTCGCAACTGCATAAGGTCAAAAGAGCACGCGGGACACATTAAACTTTTTCAGTTGGTAGGAAATTTTGAATTTTGCCCGGGTGGCGGCCGAAGCCTACTCTTATAATCGATTTAAGACCACCAATGGATCTTTAACGTGCGCCACTTGCACCCGAGCCTTCTGGGATTTTCCCCCTTGTCCAAGAAGGCTAGGTGTAGATCTTTCCTACCAGAAGATCAGGGGTGTGGCTGATAGACCGCAGTAAGAAGGAGCCAAGGAGTAGCAGTAGAAAGGCTGCAGAAAGAGCCAGGAGCCCAGAGGAGGGGGCAAAGGAGGTGAGGGGGTGGGTGCGGAAAGAGGACACGAAAACAGACGACAGAACATTGCAGGAAAGGAGGTGAAAGGAGACAATTTTAGAGAAGAAAAATTTTCGATCGCTTCCCGGATTCGAACCCGGGATCTTTGAATGAGAGGCGAACACCTTAAAGTTAATCTCTAGACCATGAGAGCCCCCAAATGTGTTTAGTTGAAGTAAGAGTTTTACGGCACTTGCAACACAATAAGGTAATATAAGTGCCAAAGATTAGAGGTGTTACAATATAGTAAGATAAAGACGATAGACTTTTGATAGAAAAGACGAAGCAAACAACACCAGAGCACCCTCCGCCCACCCATCAGATAAAGCTGATTTTCTTATAAAAACATAAAAACTGGCACCTTGTCATAATTAAATAAGTGTCATTAATTTCGTTGTTGTTGTTGTTTTGTTTTTTTTTCTTTTGTTTTTTCTTATTCCCTATTATTACTTTTTTTAAAATCCCAAGTGCCCAAGACCCGATCGAGATAATTCTGCAGTTGCGAGCGCCGTGAAACACTTACCAAAACAAAACTCCTGATTGAGATTTTGGTGATAGTTTTTCTTTGATTTTCGTCCCCAAACTTCCAAATGTGAGGGAAATAGATCTACTTGTGGAGAGACACCCTCGAAACGCTCACGTGCATGCAACTAGGCCTAGTGCGGTCACAAATTCGTTGCGCAACTTTTTGTTCAAATATTTCCTAAATTATCCTGCAAAGACTCTCCAGCTTTTGCACAATGATTCCTTTCAATTTATTGTCAAAAATATTTCATAAACTATCGAATATAGACTCTCCAGCTTTTGCACATATATTTTGTATCACCTTAATGTCTTAACAAATCAACATTTTTGTAAACACCTGTACACTGTATTCTAGAAAATTCCTTTAATAAATACTAATTTTAAAAATCCAAGTGGGTGGTTTGTAAAGATTTTTAAAGATTTACAGCTGGGGCGTCATCGCCTTTAAAAGCAAGTTCGTCATGTTTTTAAAATCGTGACACCGTCTTTATTAAAAGCTTGTTTTGAGAAGCTTTAGGGCCAAAAATGTGTTCATCATAAAATTAATTTCTTGCACCAAGTTTTGCTTCTAAAAAGTGTCATTGGTGAGCTGTGACGTAGGCCATAGATCTATACCTAAACAATGTGTGTGAGAAACAGGAAGCGCTGGGAACAATCCCATTTTCCGTGTAACGGAGATTTATAATATTTTATATCAACTTATGGAGTAAAATTTAAAAATCTGGTCTCAATTGTTCTGGAAAAGAAAGATTAGGTTTAAAAAAATTGATACAAACAGCTGTGCAAAGTGTGGGTGACCTTGATTCAACAGTTAAAGAGATATTTAGAGAGGATAAGTTGCGTCTCGAATTTTAGACCGCACTATAATACTGCTTACTTTTGTTCTTTGTCTCTGCTTACTTTCCTTCCTTTTTCCCTACCTTATTCTAATCACTGGAAAAATGCCCTGTCCTTAAAATGAAGTGTTTGATATTGGGACAGTGTTTGACTCAGATGGTAATAACCAGCAGCATCCAGCTACAACAACAACAACAACAGCAGCAGCATCATTAACCACAGCATCAACTACAGCAAAAACAACTACTGCAACAACAAAACTAATGACAACAACATCATCAGCAGCAGATGAAGTTTGTAGAGAGTAAGCATCTGACTGTCACCTTTGCTCTGTGATTTTACATAGGAGTAAGAAAACATCGTGGATTCAGTCTTGTATATTTTGTACAATTGGGAAGAACAGTTAATTTGTGAAACTGGATAGGGCATGGAAGTGTACAATAGATCAGAATTATTGCTGTCTGTCTGTCTGTCTGTCTGTCTGTCTGTCTGTCTGTCTGTCTGTCTGTCCGTCTGTCCGTCTGTCCGTCTGTCCGTCCGTCCGT